AAAGACCATCACTTTTTTTTAAATTACATCAAAACTATGAGAGGCAGGAGCCAGCAATTTATGGTGAGTAAAGCTAGAGTATAGACCTGTATTTTGCATGTTTCAATTTAGGTTTAACTTATCTAGTAAAAAAATGGCATCATTTTGAAAAAAAAAGTGGTCAAAGTTACCCCAGTTTACGGTATAAAAAAAATAAAAAATCAATGATTTTTTTATATGAAAAAAAAAATTAAAAAATTAATGATTTTTTTATTTTTTCATGATTTTTTTTTTTTTGTTCATTGTTTTTTTTAGCTTTTTCGTCTTTTGGGCTAAATATTGACCATTCAACTGGCTTCAATATACAAAAACACTTCATGAATGCAGATCGTCTAAACATTGAAGAGTCACACAACAGAAAGGTAGGTAGCTGATATGTGCACTGCTATTGATAATGCTGTGCACAGTGCACAGCACTATCAATAGATCTACTAGTTTTATGTCCTATAAATCTACCAGACTCTACCCTCTATACACACTGACTAGTAGTGACTGATTGACTGACTGCACTGTTCCCATTTGATTCAGACCAATAAACCAATATTAAAAATAAACTGAACGATAACCAAACAAACCTCAAACGACTTGAAACAAGTCTAATGTTATGAGAAAAGCTAACACTTTGAAATAAACATGTGCACAATTTAAACATTCTATTTACATTCACTGCACTTAATTAGTTTATATAGGTATAGTTTTATAATAGTAATTGTTTTATTTTCTAGTTATAAATTCACATATTTAAAGATTTAAATTAAATATTTTAATAAGAATACTCGTATTAGGGTGGAAAATCTTTCTAACTGCCTAAAAGGTCAATCCAATCTCAACCTCTCAATATACAGGGTGGGGCAGAACCAATTGAGCAGTTTTGAGGCAAAAGAGTAATGGAAGTACATAAAGAAGAAAGTTTATTTTCCTAGAGGTTAGCATCAGTATGGAATTCTGTATAGGTAATATATTATCATGTTAACAAAAGAAAATGTATCAAAAAATTTACCACCTTACACCTTCCACCAAAGTGACAATTGATACTGAGCTACACTGAGCTCGTCAAAAACTGCGGACACTCGGACAGCTGAACTTCCTCTAACTCGCTTGCGTGTGGTTTGAAAACCAATAAAAAGTCGGCGACTATTCCCTCCAATACATCACTAGTCGTGTATCCGTATCAACAAATTTTGTTATGAATATGTTCCAAAATAAAAAATAAAAATTACGTAAACTTTCGCAGAAAATTCTCACGATTTCACCAATACCAACAAAGTTCTCGAATCCACACAGAATGATGGGATAAACTGCTAATCTTTCACGGCATATGGCAACTTTGTGTTGACTGTTGACATTAGACAAGACGGTGTCAGACACTTTGTTTTGGTCTTGTAAAGTTCAATTTCATAATAAATAGATTTGATCCACATTTCACAGTAACATTTAAATGATGGAAAATTGTTTCAAAATTTAAATACCAATTGATACGCTTCTAAATACGAATTTATTCATGTTTTCGCCCTATAATGTCGAATTTGTCTTGATAACTTCACTTCACTTCAAATCCTGAATGATTTTGTCTCCCATGGCGAGTTTTCGAACATCTTGTGTCTTTTAGAAAACGTTGGTTGTTTATAAGCAGTAATTATTTTATTTTATTGAACCAAAGAAAGTTTAGTCATCGAAATGACAAAATCATTAAATTTAAAATATCAAGTTATATGAGTGAGATCTTCAATTATCGAAGAAGCTGTAAGAAAAAAAATCGTTGTTTTTGATGTAAAAGAATGTTTTTAATATAAAAGAAATGCAATACTTGATTTTCAGAAATACGATGCAAAAATTAATGATCCCTATTAGAATTCAACAGACGCGACTCATTCAGAATTAAATTGAAAAAGTTGGACCTTGTTTTGTTGTTCTATGTAGTCTCGCACTCTCGCTCCCATGAATTGCGTGTTTAGTGTATGCATCATCAAAAAGTCTGCTTGACAGCGTAGTCACGGTAGCTGTAATTACTTTATTAAGTTTACTTCTTTGCAGTCATATTAAGAGACAAATCTTTAACGAACTAATACTTTGTATAATTTTAATTGTTGAGTGAAAGCTGCACCTGCAGCCTTGCTGGCACGCAACAATTCCAGTGAATTACCTTATAGAAACTTTAGCAATCATTTTTCATTTCATATCATATTATTAGTTCATTTTTTTGCCTCAAATAATGTTGTATCGAAAAACTGGTGTAGGTGTATCAGGAATAATATATGAACCGTCAATATTAGGATTCCATCCTGGTTAGCATAGCATACCATTTCCAATACTTATGTTTTGAAAACAATATCTGGAAGATGGTGGCCGTTAGCTGCAACACACTATTGGAGTCATTCTCAGTACTCAGAGGAGGGAGTAACCGTGACAGTGAATTCCAATTGCTATGCTGCTATGTTGCAAAATTTCTTGCAGCCCAGGATGGAAAACATTGTTGAAAATGAAGCATTTAGAGATGTGTGGTTCCAGCAGGATGGGGCTACAGCTCACACAGCCCAAATGTCACTCAATGTTTTGAAACGCATGTTCCCAACTTCCCAGACTTTATCGAGCCATGAAGAGACGTCTTGGGTGGACGATAAAAACTCTGCCTTGTCAGTGACAGAGCTCGCCTCAAGTCACTTATTGATGTTTGCGGGTTATATTTTGTTTTAAAGAACAGGTTGTTTTGACCTTTCTGATTTGGTTTTTCTGCTCAGAGCCTCCTTCAGTTGTTCCAAAACAGCGCAAAGTTGTCAGTTGTCACTATGCCACAGCTCGAAGAAATGGAAACACGGCTGGCAAACCCATGAAGCCACGGCTCAAAAAATCAAGTTGCGGCTCAGCGCTCGCCAAGCAGATATATTCCATGCCT